GGTGTAAAGTGGCAGGATCCCTATCGCTTCAAACTAATCAATGAAATGACAAATCGCACACAGGCTGTTTCATCTTATGAGCTGTACAGTGAGCCTGGCTTTCAAATCCCCTACTCTCTCACAATCGTAGATACACCTGGATTTGGGGATACAAAAGGAATCACACATGATAAACTGATCACAAAGCAGCTCAAAAGCTTTCTTTGTAGCCCGTTGGGAATTGATCACATTGATGCAGTTTGCCTAGTTGTCCAGGCTTCTCTTGTCCGCCTGAGTGCCAACCAGAAGTATGTATTTGATTCAGTCTTGTCAATTTTTGGAAAAGACATTGCAGAGAACATAATTTTTTTGGTGACATTTGCAGATGGTAAACACGTCCCAGCTCTAGAAGCCATCAAAGCAGCAGATCTGCCCTGTCAAAAGAATAAAAAGGGACATCCCACCCATTTCAAGTTCAACAACACAGCTGTGTATGCAGACAAAAGTGTAGAAAAACACACAGCCGTTGACAGTGATTCAGATGACGATGAAGACGATGATCAGAAACTGAATGAGATTGTGTGGGCATCAACCTTCAAACAGATGAAGGCTTTTTTCAAGACACTGGGGACCATTGAAAGTAAAGATCTGACGCTGACTATAAAGGTCTTGGAGGAACGAGAGCGCCTTGAGAAAGCCATGACAACTCTGACCCCTCAAATAACTGCTGGTCTCTCTAAAATGAGTGAGATAAAAAGATTTAAGCAATGTTTAGAAAATCAGAATGACAAGATGGATCAAAATGAGAATTTTGAACAAGAGATAGCGGTGATGAAAGCAAACAGAACCCCTGCAAATTATTTGAGCATGAATTGCAACACCTGCTTCTTCACATGTCACTGCTTCCTCCCAGCAGAAGATCCTGTGCAGACTTGTGCTGTGATGGAGAATGACCACTGCATTATCTGCCCTGGAAACTGCCATTACTCTTTTCATTCAAGAGAAAATTTCCTGTGGATATATGAAACAAAAGTAGAGACAAAAACCATTAAAGAGTTGAAAGAAAACTTCATGGCGGCTAAAGGACAGTTCATGGACACAAAGCAAATGCTTGAAGCACTTGAAAAGGATCTCCGTGGAATTAAGGAAAAACTAATGAAGTTGATCAAATTGTCCACTGATTGCCTAAAAAAACTAGAAGAAATTGCATTGAAGCCAAAATCTCTTTCCACAGCAGAATACCTTGAAATCCTGATCAAAACAGAGAAGGAAGAGAAACGCCCTGGATTTGAAGACCGCATTGTTGAACTCGAGAATATTAAAAAAGAAGCTCTTCTAGAGAT